AACAATCATGCAAATCAAATATTTTTATACCCACTTTCTCAGGGACATTAAGTCATTTTCCCAGTGTCTCATGATGTAGAAGAAGCAGACCTGGGAAACCCGCTTGTCTGTTTATAAAGTCCATTCTTCTTCCACCTGCCCAGCTGCTCCATCATTAGCCTCTCATCCTGGTCAGAAGGAGCAGAGGACCAGCCGTGTCACTGTGTGTCCTGCTGGGTAGCAGTGGAACGCTCAGACATCATCATGGTCATTACTGTGGCCTCTTCTGTGGCAACTTTATGAAACATATAGCTTCACACTGGTTCATTATCATTTGTACTCATTCCTCATGTCTTTTCTTAGTCTGCAGCTTACGTTTTCATTTTTTATGGTGTGTTTTGATGTACACGAGTTAAATTTAATGCAATCAAAATTATAAATAGCTTTCTTTGTGTGCCCACTCAACAAATTCTCCCTGCAATAAATGCCTGAAAATATTTTTTCCTTAATTCATTCTATTAAAATTTCTATTTTACTTTCCACAGGTAAGGCTAATGTACCCTGTGCCTATGGACCCTGCCTGGAGCTGGATTCCTCCCCAGGTCAGGCTCAGCTGGGCGAGCACCAGGGTCTGAGGGGATGCAACCTTCTCCTCCAGCCCCTTCTACAGCTCCGCCATTGGAGTGACCACAACTCAGGACTTTCAGAGGAATTCCTCTCACCAGCTGATAACATGAAAGAGAGTTTATCTGAAATTGGATACATGCAGACACCTGGACACCTCAGGTCTATGTTCTTTTCCCCAATGGCTTTTTATGAATCTGTCTTCCTCTCATTATTTTCATTTCAGTCATAAGCTTTTGTCCATGTTGTATCTGCTCCTGGTTGTCCCTGCTCTGTCCCTGCGCCCTCATCTCTGCTTCAACCACACTGGCCTCGCTTCAATTCCTTCCTCATATGCATCCTGCTCCTCCCGACAAGAAGGCTTCTCTACTCCCAGGCTATGTTCTCTCTGTCAGCACAGGTCTCTCCTTTGGTGTTCTCCTGCTCCATATCTCAGATTAACCACCACCTCCTTAGGGAAGCGTTTCTTCACGTATTAGCGGTCAAATCCCCTACTTATCAGGACGTGTAGCTTACACTATTCAGCAGCATTTAGCACAGTTGTTGTTTTACATGACCTTGTGTGACTATTCAACAGAAGCCCCTCCCACCCTAGACTGTAGACCTCATTTTGTAGGGATGTGAATGTCTTTATTCTCCATGTTATTCCCAGTACCAACAGCAGTTCTGGGCACGAGTGGACAGTCTTTTGGGAATGACTGAATCATAGAAGACCACGCAGGTTCCCACTAAGGCCATCCCAGAGGTCTGAACAATCAACTGAGACCTTCCATCCCTTTGTCTCCTGAGATCAGGTGAATCTTGAGACAGATGACAAATCCCTCTCACGGGCTGTGTAACTGGCTCCCATGCCTTTCTGTAGGGCTGCCGCTTCGTAACTTCTCATCAGCTTCCTCGATTTGTCTCTTCCTTCAGTCTCCTTCCCTCACAACCACACATGGATTTTGGAGTCTCCCACATGGGAAACCTAATCACTGGCAGAATCATCAGAAACTGTATTCAAAGATGATGGAGAAGGAAACAGAATGGCTTCTCTCGTACATTAGGGAGGGTTTTCCCAAGGCACAAATTATCTCTTGGATAAATTAGAGGCCATGAGGCCTGATACCCTGAACTGTGTCATGGATGTCCACGTCCATGTATTGCTGGGCAATTCCAGAGACACAGAGCTGAGGTCACTGGTCCCTGTACCCCGGCTTCCTCCAGCCCACACCCTGACTGTGATGCAGGATGCTGTGCAGGGCCCTATCCAGGCTCTCCCTCCTTCACCGGATAGGAAAGCCTGTTTGTGACAGCAGAGTCTCCATTTATTGAGAGAGGCTATGTGTTAATCCTTGAAGAATTGTGAGAGTCTTTCTGGGTAGAAATAATCAAATACACAATCATCTAGTATGGCTCAAGGATAGACTAAAGTCCCAGTTTTGCCTGAATGATTCACATCAATGCCTTAGAGACTAATGTAGTTTCATCTCCTTAGGCAGTGAAGACCAAAAATAGACTACTTATTTCAAAGAATTCAACTTTAAAAAGACTGGAGTTAGAGCCTCCTCCCTAGGGACAGCATCTCTTCCCACTCATTTGTGAAAACCATATTTGAGAAAACTGTGACCTGTTCATGAACACTGGAATAACATCTCCTTCAACGTTGTAATGGTACTGCTACTTGAATTAAAAATAAAAGAGGAGCATTTCTAGAGACTGTGAAAATGTAAAAGTGTAACTTATTTTTATTGGGTTTGTTAAAACAGACACCAGATTGTGCTCCTTTGCCTTCCTTTTCAAATTAGGGGATTATTCAAAGCTTTTTCTAGAACAAGGGGTCAGAGCCTCCACTCCCTTGTGGTAGTGTCTTTCAGGGGTAGAAGCCACATTAATTCAAAGACAGGACAAACAAAATCAAATGTGTTGACCTCACTGCTCACCCACCTGACCAGGCAGAGGCCAGCCATGGGCACCTATAGTTTGCAATCTTTTACGATTGGCTTATTCAAAGTAAAAGGGTGTTTATAATACGTTCCATGGCCAGTGCCTTTCTGGACATTGCCCATGGAGAAATCACAAATTCTGCAACCCGATAAAGGACCTGAATTGAAAGCCCTCAGGTGGTGAAGCTGTTTTATAATTTAAAAATAGTCAACAGAGTATAAAGAAAATGTTAAATATTTTATAATCCTCTCACCTCTCTTAACACACTCCTATCCAACCCCACCGTTGGTGATTCATGAATATTAACACTTTGGTGTGTTTTTCAACACCCCTCTTCTCTATGATCATGCAAACTCGACTTCCCAAATGCACCTACAAAAGTGGGGCCACCTGCATTCATTAACTGCCACATGTATACTTTTTCCTCTTAATCTACTTGGACTTTATATTTTCAGATTGGTAGATAAAGACCTAACTTGCTCCTATTAGCTGCATCATATGGCTTGATGTGGCTAGACAGGTGCATTAATGTTATGTAATCATTGTCTTATACCTTTCCTGACTAATACCTAAGTGCTGCCAGATCTTCCCTAAAGTGACTGACTGGCCTCTGTGCTCCCAATCTCTCCCCACCCACCTGGTTGATGAGTCCGGTTCTCCCGTCTCTCAGTCCTGGAGTTCTGAGAGCTGCAGCCGCACTCCCTGACATGAGGAGACAGGGAGGGAGGAAAGGATGGACGTTTATTAAGCCTACCACATGCTACAGTATCTCAGTTAGTCCTCATAAAACATCGTGAGGGGGCGTTCACTCTGTTTTACGTATGAGGAAGCTGAGGTTCAGAACGGTTAAGGGCCTTGGCCTCAGCATTGTTCTCAGAGCTAATAAATGGTGCAGCCAGATTACAAATGATAATCTGTTTGCATCTGTGAATGAGGACATAGGAGCCACAAGTTCAATGGAAGCTGAGGAAGGGGAGGTCTACAGGCATTTGGGATTGTCAGTCTTCAGGTCAGTTACCAGAGCTAGGAGGGTCGGTGAGTGTCCTACACCACTGGAGGTACATGCATCATGACGTTGGCAAGGGACTGGGGCTAGAGGTGGTTGATCAGTGGCAGGGCCCAGAGATGCTGAGCTTTGATAAAATTATTCCTATCATGAGATGCAGCAGAGACACGAATGTGGATAATCCAGGGAAGGGAGCTCTGTGAGAAGCTATTGTTAAATGAGGGAGAGGGGAGAGGCAGCTAAGTGGTCGCTTCATATTTGTGAAATGTGGAGGAACAGTGTTAACTCACATCCAAGCTTGTTCTTATCAGTTTTGCTTTTTAAGTGGTTGGAAGGTGGGATGATTTATGTGGAAGGGAAGTTAACATCTATCCTATTCCTTTTCCTTGTGAAGGCTGGTGACAAAGAGAGAAATGGCGACACTGAAGGAGCCATTTAGTTGTTTAAGGGGGCACAATAATAAGCCACTCAGTGTTCAAGGAGACTCTCAGGGGCCAGAAATAGGTCCATTTTCCTGCTTAACCAGGTTGGAGGAATCTTCTCCTTGGGAAGGATTGAGACTGTTCTTCCGTATCTGAAGGGGCCCACCCATGGGGCTGTGAAAATTCTACTAGGAATGAAAATGAGAAATTAATTACTCACAACGCAGTCTGTTAGGAGCACTAAGAATCAGTTCAACCCCTTCCCAGTTTTATTAACTCTCTCCAGAATGTTAAAGGTAAAACACTTCTGACTGCTTCTGAAAGTAAGGCTTTGGAACATTAATTTATTTTAGAATTGACTTAGAAAAACAGGAGGCACCGTGATAAGTAGTTGAGGACAAAAAGCAGCATGGAGATTAATGAATTAATAGAGGGAATTGTCCTTTTACCTCCAGAAGGAATAGAAGATCCCAACTTAGGTGGGTACCTGCCAGAGGCACCATTTGATCCCTTGTGGCTTTGAATTGTGAATTCAAACTGCTTTCAGGACAGGGACATGACAACATTCCCATCCCCTCCCCCTAAGCCTGTACATGCATATCTCACTTCTGCACAAACCAGGGACAGGACCAGGCGAATACAGGAATGAGGTCGAAATAGGAGAGTTCAGAGGAAAGATGATCAAGGCAGCATTTTATACCTCAAATTTGAAGTGCTGTTGAAACATCCAAGTGGAAATGTCCAGCTGACAACATGAAAAGAACAAGAGAATTGAGAAGATTGGCCAGACAGGGAGCATGGCGCCCTGGCAACAGAACATTGGAGCTCTGAGAAGTGACAACGAAGGAATCTAACAGAATCAGGGTATATTTAAATCCACTTTGAATTACTATGTTTCATTATTTCTATGCTTCTCAATTTATCAATTTTAACATTTCTTATTATGCATGACAGTATTTTTTTTCTTTCTTAATGGTACATACTAGGATGGTACATCTTAGAGCTCCTGGCATCTTAGATGTAATTAATTAGTGTTAATTAATATCAGGTAATCCTGAGGCTCAGTGATGTCACTATGGGAACTGCCTTCTGGGTACAAGGGACGTCCCTCCTCCTCTGCTCATGTTCACAGCGACCGTGACCTACTGAACCTCCCATTCCTGCCCTGACTCTGCCATGGGCACCAGGCTCCTCAGCTTCATGACCTTCTGTCTCCTGGGGGCAGGTGAGTCCTCAGAAAACCAAGCAGTTTCACAGTGTGTGTGTGATGATTACAATGGTTTTCCTCATTCTGTTCCCAAATTCTGTCTCCACAGATCACACCGATGCTGGAATCTCCCAGTCCCCCAGGCACAGAGTCACAGAGAGAGGACAGGATGCAGCTCTCAAGTGTGATCCAATTTCTGGTCACACCTACCTTTACTGGTACCGACAGACACTGGGGCAGAACTTGGAGTTTCTGACTTACTTTCAGGATGATCTTGCATCAGACACATCAGGGATGCCTAATGATCGATACTCTGCCAAGAGGCCCGAGGGCTCCTCCTCCACTCTGAAGATCCAGCATGCAGAGCAGGGGGACTCGGCCTTGTATCTCTGTGCCAGCAGCTCAGCCACAGTGTGGCACAGTCACTTCCTTCCTCTCCACAAACCCCATGCGCTACCTCTCCGTATGGCTCCCAGAATCCTGAACAAAGGAGTTGCCTGCTCTTCCCTCATCAAGGGGAACAAGTGCTTTGGGATCCTCTGTTCTTCTGACAGGAGGAGGTCAGGAAACAACCTTCCTCACACTGGGGCAGATGACGTTGGGTAGCGATAATTTTGGCTCGTGGTTTTCTGGGGTTCTTTATACAGTACAAGATTCTACAGTTGCAATTGGATATTAGAGTTTAGTCTCAGGTACAGTGAAATATTCTCTTGTAATACTATAAAGTTTCAGCACATTTATAATAAACTTCTATTGCTGAGTGTCAATAGCTCAGGCCACACTATGTCCAGGTGTGGGTTAGCCAATACGGAACCACGTTAAGGCCATACACAGCTACCAGTCTTCAAAATAAATAAATGAGAATCTTTAGTGAGAATTGCCATTGAAATCAATTATCCAAGCAATTGTCTACCACAGTAATGTACATTAAGTACGTCCATATATTGCTTTTTTATTTATCTTGACCATCCTGTATTATTCTGTATTTAATTTCCTTCTTCTTTAGTCTAGTTTTTTTGTTTTTTTTTTGAGGAAGATTAGCCCTGAGCTAACATCTGCTGCCTATCTTCCTCTATTGTATGTGGGATGCCTACCACAGCACGGCTTGACAAGCAGTGTATAGGTCTGCACCTGGGATCTGAACCAGTGAACCCCAGGCCACTGAAGTGGAACGTGCAAACTTAACTACTGCACCACTGGGCCGGCCCCTGTTCTCTAGTCTATTTTTAATAGAAATTTAATTTTAGCTTGGTTTAATAAAATATAACCTCGCTTGAGAAGATGTTAAAGGGAAGTGATTCAAAGAAAACCTGAATAACAGTTATATTGACCATTTAGAATTCTTTGAGTTTTCCAAAGCAGTTGCAAAATTTACACTCTCATCAGAGGTAAATGGGTGTTTCAGTTGGCATGCACACATATGCACACACACTGTGGATTACTTTTTCATTCTCTTAACGATTTTTTTTTTCCTGAGGAAGATTCACCCGCAGGTAACATCTGTTGCCAATATTTCTCTTTTTTTGCTTGAGGAAGATTCACCTTGAGCATCTGCACCAGTCTTCTTCTATTGTGTATGTGGGTCACTGCCACAGCACGGCTGATGAGTGGTGTAGGTCCATGCCTGGGATCTGAACCTGCTACCCTAGGCCACTGAAGCAGAGTGGGCTGTACTTAACCAGTATGCCACTGGGCCAGTCCCCTTAATGATGTCTCTTGATAAACAGAACTTCTTAATCCAAAATCATTCTATTGTTCCCACTTTTTGGTTTGTGTTTTGCATTTTGCTGTCTAATTTAAGAAGGTTTTGCCTACTTCAAAATGATCTTTTCTTATATTTCCTTCTAAATTATTTATATTTAAAACTTTCACATTTAGATCTGTAAAGATAATGGAATTACTTCTTTGTGTATGAAATGAGGAAGGGATCAAGTTATATTTTCCACATGGTTATCCAACTGACCTAATACTATTTGTTGAAGGATAATATTTTCCTCGCCATTCTATAAAATGACTTGTCATAAATCAGTCGTTGTAGATATGTGGGTCTATCTTCCTAGATCTCTATTCTGTCATATTGTCTGCTTTGTCAGTTCTTACACTACTAACACACTATATTATTTATTATAGCTGTATAATATTTCTTGATACCTAGTAGTCTAATTCCTCAAGCTTTTTCATTTTTGTTAAGGGTTTTTGACCCTTTCTATTTTTCACATGTATTTTACAATCAGCTTGTCAAATTCTTCAAGAAAAAAAAAATACTAAAAAAAATACCTGCTAGTAATTTTTATCTTTTGGTTCCTGAGTAACTTAACTGCATCACAAAATAAAGCTAAGAGTATTAAGAAGAATAAAAAAATTCTAGTGCCCCCCAAATGTAAAATACACAATGTCTGGCATCTAATCAACGATGACAGGCGCACAAAGAGGTAGGAAAATATCATTTATAATGAAGAGAAAAATCAGTGAATCAATGAATAGAAACAAATCCCAAAATGACAAACTGGCAGAAAAGGTATTAGCCAGTTATTATAACCGTATCCCACATGTTCAAAGCCAAGTGGAGATGGGGAAGACATAGAAAGATCCAAATCAAACTTCTAGAGATAAAAACACATTTCTGTGATAAAAAATACACTGGATGGGGTTAGCAGCAGATCAGACATTTCAGAAGAAAAGATGAATGCACTGGAAGATGTAACAATCGATAATTTATAGTGAAAGGCAGAGAAATAACAGGGCATCAGTGAGCTGTGGGACAACTTCAAGTAGCCTAACGTGTTACTGCCCAAAGGCAAGATTTTTACATTCAAATTTCTTTATAGAATAATTGGTTGTTTGCATCAAAATAATTCCAACATAGTGTGGAGTTTCCTGGAAAAGTAAAATATAAGACAACAACAGCAAGACAGGGAGGGGATATGGATGAATACCACACATGGCGAGGTTTCCGTAATCGATGTGAAGTAGAACAACATCACCGGAAGGGAGACTGTGTGAAAGGGGAGACGTAAACTACAAACCCTGGAGCCCCCACTGAAATAACAAAACAGAGTCACAGCTAATTAGTCAGCAAAAAAGGTAAAATGAGTTACTACAAAAATGCTCCATTAATCCACTAGAAGTTATACAAAGAAGGAAAAAGAAACAAAACAGAGATGGGACTAATAAAAAACAAATGGCAAGATGATAGACATGAATGCAACCAGATCAATAATCACATCAAATCTAAATAATCCAAATGCCCTAATGAAAAAGTATACATTGTGATACTGAATAAAAAGAAAAACAACTGTATGCTACCTACCAGGTAGGCACCAGAAAGACTCAGAATGTAAAAAGGAAAAGGATGGAAAAGATGGACCACGCTAACGTTCATCAAAAGACAGCTGGAGCAGCGATATTAATATCAGACAAAGTAAATCTCAGAGCAGATCCTCTCGTCTGGGAACAAGCACGTCACATCCTAATGATAAAAGGGTCACTCTACTAAGAGGACATAGCAATCTTAAAGATTTATGCATCTAAATACAGAGCTTCAAATTCTGAAGAAAACGAATAGAACTGCAAGGAAAAATAGACAAGCCAAAATTATAGTCAGACATTTAAATACTTCTCAGTAGTTGATTGAACAAGTTGAGAAAAAGAAATCAGTAAGGATGTAGAAGACATGAAAAATATTATCAACCAACTTGACCTCATTGACGTTTACAGAATACTTCACCCAACCCCAGCAGAATACACGTCCTTTTCCAGGGCACACTGATCACGTACCAGGATGGACTGTAGACTCTGGGCATAAAATATGTGTCAATACATTTAAAAGAACTCAAGTCATGAAAAGGACGTTCTCTGACCACAGAGGCACTAAATTAGAAATCAACAGAAAGATCTCCAGAAAAGTCCCAAATATTTCCAATAACAATATTCTACATAGCCCATGGGGCAAAGAACAAATTAAAAGGGAAATTTAAAGTGTTTTTAACTGAATAAAAATTAAAAGATAACATATCAAAACTGGTAGGATGCCACTAAAGCCATACTTAGGGGGGAAACTGAAGAATAGGAATGATTCCCTGCTCATCCTGAGGCCAGCACTGCTGTGGACCAAACCAGACAAGGGTCTTACACGAAAAGAAAACTATGGACCAATATCCCTTATGAACACAGATTAGTAATCCTTTTAAGATCCAGTATGTTGAATCCAACAACATCTAAAAAGGATAAGATGTCATGACAAAGTGGAATTTATTTCAGTAACGTGCAATTGGTTTAACATTCAAAGAACTGTCAGTGTAATTTACCATATCAAATACTACAAAAAGGAAAATCATATGATCATCTCTATAGATGCTCAAAAAATTTGATAAAATCCAACATCCACTCCTGATAAAAACTCTTAACCAGTTGGGAGTATGTAGAAACTTCCTTCCCTAATAAAGGGCATTTATAAAAAACCTACAGTTAATGGAACATCTTTTGCAGGTGGACCATGATAAGTTAAAAAATGCATATTGTAATCTCTATATCAAACAGTAAAACCATCACAAAGAGGGAAAAGTTGTCTTTACAACAAATGGTGCTGGAGAAACTGTGTATCATATGGAGAAACAATGCATCTCAGTCCTTGTCTCACCCCACAATCCAGGAGAGGGCAAACTAAGACCCACGGGCCCAGTCCAACCCCTGCCTGTTCACATGCGGCCCAGAAGCCAACAGTGGTTTTCACATTGTTAAATGTTGAAAAAAGTAAAAGGAATAATATTATGTGACCTATGAAAAATATACAAAATTCAGATTTCAGTATCCATAAATAAAGCTTATCGGAACACAGCCATGTGCATTCATTTATTTATTGTCTCTGGCTACCTGTGCACCTCAATGGCAGAGCTGAGTAGCTGGGACAGAGACTGCACGGTGCACAAAACTGAAAATGTACTATCTGACCTTTTACAGAAAATGTTTGTTGACCCTTCCCATAAACAAAAATTCATAAAAGATGGATCAGCATCCTCAATGATCTATATAAAGCTTCTGAACTATAGAAATCCTGAAACAAAACATAACAAATCCTCTTTATGACCTTGGAGCATTTTAATCTCTTAAAGAGGATAAAAATATTCTAATCTTTAAAAAGTAAATTTTTCTTTATCACAATTCTAAATTCTGTTCATCAAAAGATATTAAGAAAAAAATAGAGACACATAGATATCTAAGAAAGTGTGTATCCATAATATAGAGAATTCCTATAAATCAATAATAAAAAATGCAAGTAATCCAATTTAAAGAAAGAGCAAAAGTTTGAAACAGGGTGTTCAAAAAAGGAAGAGATATAAATAGGCAGTTCCCTCTCGGTGGAATTGGGTTTACTTCCCCAGCTGACTGAAGACTTTTTGGCTGATAGAGCGCCACCTTCAGCCCTCTCCAGGAAAGGCCTTGAGTCAAAAAGAGCCCTTTACCCAAGGTCCCAGCCCATTGCCAGGGCAGCTGGCATCTAATGACTGGCTGGTATCCCCTTTCCTAGAACACTAATTGACGAGATTTAGAAATTTTATTCTTTTTCAGAAAAATGTTTGCTTCGTGCCTCCTTCATTATCACATGCAAAGAGTGAGCTTGAGAGAGTTGAGTATCAAATCAGCAAGAGCTGTGCTGTGTCCTGGGGGATCCTGGCAACTGATGTAGATGGTAGCTGCCTGCTTGGGAAGTGCCAATAAGGCTTCTTCACAACTGGCCACGTGAGGGCGCTGTGGATCCACTGAGTGAGCTGCTGATAGCATCTGGAAGACAGAGGGTTAAGGGAGAGACAGTCTTGGCTTGGTCTCTGCATCAGGGAGATTATTTGGTGAATCAGAGTTAGTGCTGGCAT